AACATGAAAGCGCAAAATGTATATTAGACTTTATGAGGTTTATAAGTATTACAGAAAAAAGTACATTAGTGCCTGGAAATAGTTACTTGTAAGTTTTTAGAAAGCACAACAGATGCAAAAAGATTATATGTGAAATTGCCTGAATATAAAAAAGGCAGAATGAAGAAAGTCGTCGTCGAAAGTTGAAAAACCCAATACAAAGATTGATAATTTGATTAACAGATACATAGAAAATATTCGACTTGATAACTCGACCTGCCTGTAGCTTAGTTGATAAGGCAACGGGGACGGAATCCCGTGGTCGCAGGTCCGAGTCATATCTGGTCGAAGAAACTTTTCTTTGTGTCCGATCTTTGTATTTAATATTTAGAGCGAACTACAATTTATCAAAGCTACTTTAATTCCTAGTGATAACAAACAAATCAACTGTATGATATGGATATTGACGGCTATTCTTTAAAATTGTTTACGATTGGCGCCATCTACCTATACTAGCAAGCATTAGTTTATAAATTGGTTTGTGACACATAACGCCATCTATTGACACGCATAGTTTTTGATTTATAACAACTAGTGACGAGACGAACAAGTCGTGCGCCTGATGCTAAGCTACACTCCTGTCCATAACAGTTACAGTGCTGAGCAGAGTTTTCAATTGCAAAGATCTGAGGGGCACTACCACTGCGCCCATCACCCTGAGAATTTTACTTCTCCGAAAACCTTTAGATTTTTATTGAATAGATTTTGTTTCATTTGTCCGAAAACATGTTCCGGTTTTTTTCATTACACCATTTAATGTTTCACTATTTTAACATATTGACAAAATTCTTTTCCCGATTTTTATTTCCCCAACAAACCGTTTGACCAATGTATCTAATTGAATATTTTTATATTGTAAAAACACGACATCCATGATACATTTCTGTTATATTATTTCTTATTACACATATTAAAAGTATTACAACGTATCGCACAATAGAACTCGTCAAATTAAAGCACCTCACATCTTTTGAAAATATGGTAAACGAGATGCAAGTTAATTTGATCGAGTTGTAGTCGCTCGCTTCGCTCGTTCGGATCGTGCTGCGTTTTCATATACTAACCTAAACCTACAGGAGGGGGTCGTACCGTCTAGGTAATGCAAACAAATTCGGCTCTGGCATTCGCCGGCCGCTGCCGCAGCACGCTCGCTACGCTCACTCAGCTCGTGCGGCTTTTTCATATACTAACCTAACCTAAATCCACAGGATGGGGTCGTACCGTCTAGGTAATGCAAACAAATTCGGCTCTGGCACTCGCCGGCCGCTGCCGCAGCACACTCGCTACGCTCGCTCAGCTCGTGTGGCTTTTTCATACACTAACCTAAATCCACAGGATGGGGTCGTACCGTCTAGGTAATGCAAACAGATTCGGCTCTGGCACTCGCCGCCCGCTGCCGTGACACGCTCGCTACGCTCGCTTGGCTCGTGCTGCTTTTTCATATACTAACCTAACCTAACCTAAACCCACACCATTGTTTTTAAATTACATTTCAGATGACAGCAAAAACATAGCACAATGATATGATGATAATTACGTAAGTGGACTTACTGTGCACCAGCAAAGTACAGTCCAGAATTTTGGAGCTGTGCGGAAAAATTGTACGGTGGTAATTGTAAACGAATTTTGAGCAATCTAAATTATATAGAACAGACAGTATACAAACATGGTTAGACCAAACAAACTTCTGCCCAAAGAATACGTATGTGTAATAATTATTCTAATAATAAGTTTTCGGACAAAGGATACTTCTGCTGTAAGACATTTCTGTGTTGCAAATTTATACCACAACTGTCATCGCACTAATGACAAAAAGCCGAACCGTTTTCGGAGTAATGAAATTCGGAAAACAGACATTCGAGTTTGTGATAGGTTACCTCCTGAGACATAAGTTGACAAGTCCCATGTGCCTGTAATTTCACCAGCATCCTTACCCTTCAAAACCGGAACACAGTAATGCTGACATTGCTGCCTGGACGAACTCTTTCACAAGGAGCTGTACTGCAACTAAAAAAGAAAATAATTTAAGTTCATGGTCAACATTTGAATAAACTTATTACTTATATTTCATATTAAACAGGAATTAATTGATATCCACGGCCATTTACGTAATATTATAAGCTATTTCCAGGTTATTGATCAGCGCCATCTAGACATGGGTACGGTGAAATTTTGACCCTTTTCAGAATTACGATCAGTACGGAAGTTCAAAGTGAATGTCAAAGAATCATTTATTCCATAGGTAACATAAATGTACACTTCAAAACGTCACATTTAAGATACTGCTCGTTCACTACGCTGACTTCCCTGAGAAGAACTCTAGGGATTGCTCTTTTTAAATAAACTAAAAATGCTATGGAATACACTTTGAGTCAAATTTGTGTGGAATCTAGAGCCATGTCGTCTTTCCATTCATCTTTATCTAACACGTAGTCTTCAATTATGTAATATGACTTTTCAATCAAAATATTATTAATGTAGTTTTAAAACTTGTGAAATTATAATCTTATGCATATATGCTCGAGAATCTTATTGTGACAACGCATACAGTTCCCCATAAAAGAGTCGTTTACCTTGATTAAACGAAATCGTGTTCCCATGAGTTTGGACTTAGCTCTAAGGTTGAATAAGAGTAAAGGTTGATTTGTATGTTATGGAGATGTTTTTTCTTATTGGAATTATGTATATTTTTACGGGCATATAAAATATTTGAGTAAATGTACTGTGATGCCATAGTCGTGATACCAGTCTCTATAAACTTTTCCCCGAGAGAAACCCAAGAGCCTAAGCGGTACACAGAATGAATCGCTCGTTTTTGCAATACAAATATGGTTTGAATATCTGCCGCTTTACCCCACATGAGAATCCCGTAGGACATTATACTATGGAAGTAACTAAAGTAAACTAGTCTAGTAGTACTGACATCGGTAAGCTCACGTATTCTGCTGACTGCGTATGCAGCGGAGCGAATTAGCAAATTAGTAGTCTTCTTGAGTTATTGGTCCTTGCCGGGATGCAATAATGCTCATATTATTGCTTGGCGGCAGAAATATGTAAGGTGACTTCCCTGGACAAACTTTCACAAGGTGATCTACTGCTACTGGTTGTGGTGTGATATGAGTATCCACATTGCAGAATGTAGGAGGGTCAAGACGACACAAATAATGATTGACTGATGAGATTATCGTTTGCGGCCTACATTACCTAAGTAAGAACATATATCATGCGTTAAATTATTTTGCTTACTAGTTTCCAAACGATAATTTAGATCTGGCAAGAATTACCAAAAAATTAATTTCTCTGCTCACGATAAGGCTGCTCACGACCCACAGAATACCAACATTTTCAATAATAAATTTGAACATATAGTCACTACATCGGAATCAGGCTTCACAAAAACATCACATGTATGGTTCATGGTTTATTCCGACCGATATTTTCCTTACCTTTCCCTTGAAATATATTTCGGTAAAACCAGGTATCTACGACAAAGTCATCAAGCATTCTACATCTCGTGTAAGAAAATTGCTGCGAAAAAGATTCAAAATGCTTACCTAAGTAAAAGTAATAGGGGTTAAAGTATGAAATTGCCGATTTGTACTGAAAATCTAAATTGTATATTTTTTAAATTTTTAACAAATTTATTTAATCAAAATAGTTGCCATTATTATCTATACATTGCTGCCATCTAATGGGAAGGTTATTAATGCCTTTGCGATAGAACTCCGACGATCTAGACTGCACAAACTGTGTGAAAGCATTTTGTACTGCCTCCTGGGAAGAAAACTTCTTGTCACGTAGATAATTGTCCAAATCACGAACAAAATGGTAGTCCGTTGGAGCAAGGTCTGGTGAATACGGAGGATGACGAATGGTTTCTAACTGCAGTTCCTGAAGGGTCAAAATGGTTTCTCGTGCTGTGTGAGGTCTCGCGTTGTCGTGGAGCAATAATGGTGAAGATCGATTCATGAGTCGGGGCTGTTTTACTGCTAGTTTTGTCAACATGGTTCGGAGTTCGACACAATAGACATCTGCCGTTATTGCTTGACCAGATCGGAGAAAACTATAGTGAATTACCTTTTTATTGGTAAGTTTTGCTTTAGGACACTGTTGTGGCATTTGACCTGGGGTCAGCCATTGCATTTTTCTTTTCCGGTTATCATAAAGAATCCACTTTTCATCACATGTTACAATTCGATCCAATATTCCTTCATTTCTGTACCGGTTCAACAAGGCAACACAAGTTTCAACACGCGTTTCTTTCTGCAGGTCAGTCAAATCGTGAGGCACCCATTTTTCGTATTTTTTTATTTTATTGATTTGACGCAAGTGAGTCAATATTGTGGGTAAGGTAACGTTAAACCATGCCGCTAATTCCTGGGTAGTTTGACTAGGATCGGGTTCCACTATCTCTCTTAATTCATCGTTATTCACCTGTGTGGTCTTCCTCGTGGCTCGTTCTTTAAGTCGAAATTTCCATCACGAAAGCTTTTAAACCAAAATCGCACGGTGCGTTCATTAGTAGACCCCTCTCCAAACGCAGCATTGATATTGCGGGCTGTTTCTGCCGCGTTAGTTCCGCGTCGGAACTCGTATTCAAAAATCACTCGAATTTTCGCAGTATCCATCTTTCTTGTCTAAATTGAATAACAAAAACAATTGAAAGTCGATATTCAAATGTTTCAAATTTAAAAAAAAAATCACAGAAACCATTTGAAAAAAGTTTCATTCGAAAACCTCAAACCATGAAGATTCTATGAAAATTCAAAGAACCTATTGCAATAAAACGGCAATTTCATACTTTAACCCCTAATATTACCAAAAATTCTCCTCTGCCCGCTGCTCTTTTAATGTGACACGACCCTTATAATGATAATACGCGATAACACACAAGCAAATATAATATCATATCTGTCTCTCTCCTTCTGTCCAATATTTTAGCATAGATAAAAAACATAATTTCGTATTTGTATCAATTTTATGTCCATTTCTATACGTTAAGTGTGATGGAAATGTAGGCGTCCGTCAAATTTTAATATCAGAAATTGTAATTCAATTATTCTGTTTTCAAGGAACATAAAGTAATTCAAAATGTGGTAAGTCGATGTTTTCCTTATCTAGTAATATTTATTTTTGTAGGTATAGTTATTACAATTATACATCTTACAAAGATTTCTAAGTTGGCTTTTAATTACGAGTAGGTAGTATTAACTATTTGTGTATGGGTGTAAGTTACACCACGACTTACGTCTTCTTTGGGGAGTCACTACACTTAACGCGGAATTAGCTTAAGTCGGTCGGATAAAACTATATATCCATGCAATAAGAGCAAAAAAGACGTTGCGCATTTCACTTCCGTTACGATCGCCGACGCGTAAAGGACATAATGTTTTTCCTGATCCGCTTAATGCAAGTTCGAATCGATAAGTGTGGTGGCTTCGTTATAGTGACTGGCCATCTTACAAATATTATGCCGCAACGTAAAGATTTTCTATATTACGTAATTTCGACTACATTGTATAATATCGTATAAAGGTAACTCTAAATATTTGCCTTGTCGTTGGAGCCTAATAGTTTGGAACCTAAAGTCTCCGTCTCTAAAGCAGAGGGTCGTGGGTTCAAATCACACACACACATGCACACGCACACGCACACGCACACGCACACGCACACGCACACGCACACGCACACGCGCGCACGCACACACACACACACACACACACACAGTAAAACATATAATATGTAATTCATATTTAATGTACCTATTAAAATTGTTGAGAAATAGGTAATGTACGATCAAATGTTTGAGAGAAGACACTGACATCTATATAACACAGGTTATACCCAGCTCCGGTGTAAGGGACTTCACTACTGTGTTGTAACTTTTTTGTAACAATAAACATTATTATTATTATTATAAATCCGGGCTTGCACCTCTGAGTTTCGAGATTCAAATGCGAAATTTAATTTGAAATTGATCATGAGCTTTTCGGTGAAGGAAAACATTGTAAGCAGACACACATATCTGCAAAACAATTTAATGATGTATGTGAAGTTCACAATCCGCATCGTGCCCGCACAAGCCCTGTCATTCTAAGAGAAGGCGAGGGGAAAGAATATTATTTATTTATTATGTAACTCGTAAGTTCCATGTGTATTTAAAAATTTAAAATAGCAACTTACTCTTTGAATGTTTAAGCTCTTATTATAAATAGAGTGGAATTTAAATCATAACTGTAAAGCTGAGCTCTTCATCACGAACTATATTGTAATGAACAAATGTATCCGTATCTCATTGTGTAAGTATTAAATGTTATTAATAAATAATTAGTAGTGACAGTGGATGTTTTAAAGAGACATTTAATATAACGAAAATATACTTACTGATAGTGGATATAAATATGCTTAATATAGAAGAATATAAAGAAGGAATTTTGCACTTCTACGCCTTCCTCTTAATATCACGTCGATACTATTTTATATTAGGACTATATTGACTTTGACTAGGTAGTATGTTGCCACTTTGTTTGTGCTATCCTTGGCCGCTTGGCACCTTCCTTCGAGAGGCACATAAGCAAGTGCCCCTCGAAGTGCGTTGGGGCACCGCAGTCATATCGGGCTAGCCTCTGATTCTCTGAACTCCCAAAGGTGCGAAGTCGATTCAAAGACTTTCACTCGGGGCAACACAGATCGCATCCTGGTGGTAGTTGCTCGTGGGCGAGGATAACTCAAGAGTCGGTCAAGGCCAGGTTATGGGTGAATTCCTGTTTCCACAGTGTAAACCTAGTAACAGTTAAGTATTGACCATCGGAGGATCCAAGTTTTCCACCGCAAAAGATATCGAGCGACCTCTTTTGCAGCTCTCGGCTGCTATGCTATCTTTGGGTGGACATAAGAGACAACCAATGTGTCTACATGGCTCACAACCCAGACTAGTTCTTGGACCAGTTTGTATGGAGAGTTTCCATTGGGCCTATTGCGGTGGTGCAACGGATGCCAGTAACCGGTATCTTGGCGCGAGTAAAAGTCCGGAAGATTATGTTATCGAATGCTGGATATCGGTATATCCGGCCAACACTTCGGATGAACGATGAATAGTAAATAGCACCACCACACGAATATGGATGGGGATAATCTTGTACGAACGTCCAGTAGTCTACTAACATTGACCAACCCAATTTAACGAACACGCTCTTTGGAGTTGCAAGCAGAGAGACGACATACCTACAAAATAAGTTACGTGAGCGCAACATAATATTAATACAATATTATCTGTTTTTCTAATATATTGCATGATAATGTTACCGCTGCTAATAACTAATTCGTGTAAATTTATCTTATTATCAAAATGGTAATAATCGGTGATAATATATTTTATCGCACATAGAGCTCATTTGCTACTTACAAATAATAATTTTATAAATAAATACCCGGAGTTATTGGTTTTAAAACTCAAGTCGTTTACACGATTGTTTAAGTCCAAAATGCATTGTTTATGTTGGTCATAGCTTCCCAATAGGATAGCAAGACGCTAGAGACCTTTATTAGCCACGTTCCTGACGTACCGCAGTCGCTTCTTCACTCGCATCTGTGTTTATTATCCGTAGTACTTTTGACCTTGTCCTTTTTTAGGATTTACTTTGACCTGGTTGAGAGTTGAACGTCGAGGTCAACTTATGTACACAATACAAATATACACAACCCGAAAAAAACATTCGAAAACATTACATATTTGTTTCGGGTTCTTTGCAGATCCCATTGTTAAGGCTGAGCTGACTACATGGTCAGAGATAAAAAACAATCATTCGTGGTTATAGATCCGAAAAGAGTTTTACTTTCAAAATTGCTTCAGTATTAAATGCAAATTGCTGACTGATTTAATTTAACTTACATTAATTTTAAAATGTAGTAAAAGTAATCGAATTGTAATTCTTATATTATGAATTCTTATAATATCTCAAATTTCATTTCAACCAAACGCAAGCACATAGAAAAATTCGTGAGGTTCGTTGGTTCGTTCCGTGGCTTAGTTGGTATAGCGTCTGGCACGGTATGCAAGAAGACGTCGGTTCGAATCCGACCGGATCGAAGGAATTTTTTCTGAGTGTTTTTTCTGAGTGTTCGATCTTCGTATTAATAATTATTCCAAAAGTCTATCACATCATCGAATTTTTCGGCATTCTGAGCCTCTAGTGACATCTAGTGAGACATTTTAGAACTATCTCCACCGCAGCCAGCACCTTTACAGGTGCTTTAACTGACGTAGATCGCTCAGTTGGTAAGAGCAATACGACGATGCAGTATGGTCGTGTGCAGAAAAAGTTTTTTATGTGTTCGATCTTTATATTAATCATAATAAGAACTAGTGGAGTTATTTCACAAAATAATTCAATAATACAAGGTCTATGGTTACAAAAATATTTTAAAAATTTGCTTGTGCGCAATATATTCGCATTCCCGTTTTTAATAATATATTTGTATAATTTCCTTGCATTTATTGAGGAAAGCTACATTATATTCCTCTGCGATTACGCGGATACCTGATTTGACTCGCTGGGCCTCTGTAATAATGTACTATTACATTATTACTTCTAAGTATCTCATAATAATAAGCATAAAATGACAGTGTTTTTTTTTTTGTAATTTCAGTTGCGTGTGTGATTATCTTTGCCGGATGATTAGTTTCGTCATTTCGTTGCTGATCACCATAGCATTAATATTCATACTTCTATGGGTCTTCAGAGTCATATAGTTAAACTTGTAAGTATTTAAACAAATTATTCCACTTTAGCTAAACTTTTTTTGCCTAACAATAACATAAACAATAATTGTCTTTTTTTTAATATATAATAGACACACGCTTGGCCACAATCTCACCTGAATCTTGAATTGAAAAGCCTAACTCTAAACAATAATTTTTGTATTTTAATCGAAGTTTTCGATAACAATACTTAGGTTTACAATATTATAATTTTGTAACCAACATTAATTTATTCTCATATAACTGATGAATTGATGCAATTTCAGAACAACCAGTACCTATCATGAGGTCGTAGAATAAGAAATACACTAGAAATTATAATATTAATAAATAATACTTGAGCCCAGCCCGCCATTTTCGCTTTCCACATTATGGTGGGGTCAATTATCTCATGCAAAACCTCTAAAATCACCTTTATTTTACTACTTTGGAAGGCAAAAATGACAGTCGTACCTGTATATCCATTGTGGTGTTTCATATCATCATTAAGTCTTTTTAGTAAATTTTCCATTTTCTTTATCGTAATAGTTTTTTTTTTTTGTTAAAAGAGACGAATGTAAACCTTATTCCGCTGCCATATGGTCGATTTTTTTTGAACACGTTAATTGTTTGTCGTCTCATAATTTTTAATTTTTCAGCTATTGCCGCTACTTGACAGCACTATATAATGACATTTTAATATAAAATCAAAACATCGTGACTTGAAATATTAAGTATTGAACTTTCAACGATATGCCTACTAAGTAAAGTTAAATTATAATAACAGTCCAGAATTTGCTACTTTTTCTTAATTAGAATTTACGACCAATTATTATCAACATTTCATAGTGTATACCATAATTATGATTGTGTGAGTTTTGGCGACAACGGCTCTCACAGTAATCGAGGCTATAAGGCATTCCATTGCTTTTTTTCTTGCGTGCTTGAGGTACGGTGCCAGTTGCCTTGTGACCACAAGTGTGCTATACAATTTGCCATATAAAATTTTGTGGTATTTTCTTAAAGGGTGGAAAAAATATTTTACACGGTCGACAACTGTCAATGTAAACCATGTTGGAGGCCTCGGTCACATTGACTTGAAAAGAGAATGTTGTTGACAGTACATATATATATATTTCTTTTTTATACCAAGTAAGACCTTTTTTTAACCGACTTCAAAAAAGGAGAAGGTTCTCAATTCGAATGTATGTTCTTTTTTTGTATGTATGTTACGCGATAACTCCGGTATTTGTGAATCGATTTTCATGATTCTTTTTTTGTGGGAAAGGGGGTACTTCCATAGTAGTCCCATTTTATTTTGAAGAAAATTATTCACCTCTAAGGGTGGCTGTTTACGCATGAAGATTCATTTTTATAAACAGCGCCTAACTTTAATTTAGGAGCAATTATTTTAATGGTTGATTTTGCTATTTCTCCAATTCAAAGCGTTTTCTCTCCATATACTTTGAGTAGTGAGAACTGTATAGTGGCGAACTAGGGAATATTTCAATAAAACTTAGCAAATAGACATAATTCCACGTACTTTTGATGTTGGTTTTTTAGTACTCTGTACTGAGATTATTATTAAAAAACTAGTGCGCCTTTGACCTACATCTCAATTGATAGAAAGTGCCGATGAGATTGACGATGGAGCATGCACGCCTAAACAATAACTATTCACTCTCGCCTTGAACAGGCTCAAGTCATATCGTTCAGGGAATAAGTACAACATAAAGGTGGAACTCTGACCCAAGTCTAGTCCCCCAATGATAGAAATGGGAAGGCAGAATTAAATCGTGCTATTTCTTCGCACATTCTCTGTGGCAAATCCTTTCGAGAATAGATAAGAATATCGTTAAGCAAGCCATTTTACAGCAGTGTTCAAGGCTCTGCAACTTCACCTCTATAAATTCCGAGCCACCTATAAGCCAAAACAAAAAAGTCCAATTTCATTTTCTGGCCACAAAATGTATTAAGTAGATACCCATTAATGATTTTAAATAATATGTTTGTTTCAGGTACTACTATTAAGAAAAAGATGACAGCTTTAAGATAAATGTGTCAGTATGCGGGTAAATTTACTATAAGGTAAGATTACCTGCGTATTTACCATGTTCTTGCGGTAAACTTATCCGAATACTGACACATTGACTATAAGTTCATAAGCTGTTGTGCGGCATGGACGTTTAGAGTATGTCTTTTTAAAATACTATCGTAAGGTGATACCTTCACTCTAACATACTCTAAATGCAATCATAAGGTATCATCTTACGATGGTACCTGTAAAAGAGTTGAGCCACGAGTGTGAACTCGTGACTCAACAAAAATGATTAATAGAACATATGATAAAGGCCGACTAGTTACTTTTGAACCCGGTGATGGACGAACTATTGATAGATTTGTTCGTGATACCCAAAGAAGTAATTATTTTATTGCAATTTCCACAACATAGAGAGGATTCAAAAGTAACATAATCTGCCTTTACATAATTTTATAATTTTGTATACCGAATGCAATCCTATGTGAGACAAAACATTTTGTATCCATTTATTGAATTCAATTTAATTTATTAAAAACAATATATTTATGTACACTTTGGAGTTTTTATTTAATAATGAACGTTTAATCGGTGCTTATTGTTAAACAAGTGTGATCGTAATCCAATGACGGCGATATCAACTGGTCATTCCATTAAAACATTTAAAAAATAATGAACTCACTTTAAAAACGGCACGTATTAAGTGGAAATCGAACTACAGCAATATGTACTAAATAGATAAAATAGTATTTATACGTTCTGTTACATACACACACGCACACAGATACGCACACACACAACCATACTCACCACATTAATTCATTACATTAGTTTTATTTTCATTTGCATATGAAGTTCTTATCCTTAGCTTATTAATTGTTATTTATTTATTTCCGGATTTAAGAAATGTAACTCGGGGCTTCTAACAGTAGTAACGTTTACTTACTAATAACCCCAACACCGGATACTGTAATTATTTTATGTAGTGAATAAACTTTTTTTACAAAATTTAACAAAATACCTATGTACTATGTTTATGAAGTCGGTGCCAAGAAATAATGAAAAATTCGTATAGTATGGGCGCAATGCGGGAGATATTGTTTGGCTGGCATCGAATCGGTTGGGCCATTTATTATGTTAACATATGCCCTAACTTAATTCTATAGCTTATTGTCAAACGGGTAGTAATAAAAGCTCCGAAAAGTAAATTAACAATGAGCTTATTGAAAATATGAATATTACTGCGTTATTTACTGTGCTACGAAAACTTTTGTGTAATTAAAAACACGAAAATAGTCGAACGAAATACTAGAAGTTCCGAAAACTATTATTCACCATTATAATACAATTTGACCTGAAAAATATATTCGGAAACGCAAACAAATTCGCTTCTGGCACTCGCCGGCCGCTATCGCGACACGCTCCGCTTCGCTCGCTCGACTCGTACTGCTTTTTCATATACTAAAGGATATTTTGCAGTTGGCCACTGATGGCCTTGACTGCGCCACTGGAAAAAAGGGCGAGCTGAAGGCTCATAACTCCTACAATATACTTAAAACTAAGTAGCGGGCTTGAGGGCGCCCGAGTGGGCACGGATCTTGGCTCAGGGCTCTATTGGAGACTTCCGCCAGAAAGGCGTGCTATAGGAGAGAATCTACCAGTGTACGTGCTGAAATGAGGGGCTCTACGACCTCGCCAGCGAGGACGGTTGGTGCGTGTGGAGATGGGCTGATTTGTTGTTGATCAGGTTTAAGAAGAGAATAGTTTTCACTGGCTATTTTGTTACAAACAGCTTCTGTGTGTTTTTGATGACTTATTGTATTATCAATGCTGTATCCAAAAAACTAAGTGTTCATTTTTGTTCCTGATAAGTGACGATTACTAGCAGCGTATCTCATTATGACTTTTATATTCCTATTCAAAGTAATAATAATAATAACGCAACACACTCATAGCCCCGCACTAGGGAAACCTGTGTCGCGGGTACCATGGACCACACATAGACAACCACAAATTACACCCAAACTTACGAGAGAAGTAAATGTAGGCCATACACATATTTCTCCTAGCCTGGGAATCGAACCCAGGACCTCTGCGTGGCAGTCCGGCGTGGCATGATAACCGTTCGGCCACAGATGCAGTTAAAGTTATTCCATTTGACGTGAACCAACTTTGCAACTTTTCAATAACTTTGGACACCTTTCGCTCCAACCCTAGTTCATTTCGTTCTCTGGTGCCAACATGTATATCAACAGCAAATAACGTCACATAGGTATCTTTTGGTAAACAGTTTGGTGGGCTATTTATATAAATTGCAAACAAAACAGGCCCCAGAACTGAACCTTGAGGTACCCCTATATCAGTCGTAGCTATTGTTGAAGTAGCGTTATTTATCTGAACCACCTGTGATCTGTTTTTTAAAAAGCTCTCAATTGGCCGCAACGCATTAGAGTGGACACCATAAAAGTTTAGTCTGTGAATATATCATGTCGTAAACAATCAAACGCCTTAGACAAGTCGCAAACGATACTTGAGCATTTATGACAATCATCACGAGCGCTTAATACAAAATCGATAACATTTATCTATACCTCCATTATGAAGTCTTAGCTGAAGTGTGAATGCAGTCGTAATTATAGCCAAAAAATCAAAAAAGAATCTATAGCCAAAAATCATTGGACGACGGGTCTTATACAAAAACCACGAAAAAAATGTCCCAAGTCAACCTATTCGAAATTTAAATTGTAATGTCATCGCAATATCGCGCTGTCAGTCGAACAAATGAAGATTAAAGCGGAGTTTGGCGCTCTGTATACGATTTTAGCGCCTTACAAGTGCGGACACTTTTTAGCGCGGACCCGACGTCCATATAATTGTAAGTCAATGCCAAAATTGTAAAAATTTTAGGCTATAGATTCATTTTAAGATGTAAGCATCGTATAAGAAACAATTTTTCGACATAGTTTTCCTAAAAAGGTGAGACGTAAAATTTAGAGTATGGAAATTGTGGGCCACTTACACGTGAAAAAATGAAATACTAAAAGTTACAAGTTCACCGTTAAGATCTCTAGTGCAAGTATTAAATGCGTGTTTCATTCATTTGCAAAATTATCTCTTAATTGAGTCAAATAGACAATGATATTTTGACTACCATGTAATTAGTTCATTTTTTGTGAAAATATTCCACATAGTCATGTTCGAACACTAGTTGGAGTCCATTCGGGAGAAATGTTTATTTCTTTGTTTGATCTTTGTATTTTTCACAGGAAGGGTAGGCCTCGTAGGAGAAAATGGCCTCGCTGCTCTGCAGATTACAGGGTAGTTCCAATTCCATCCTAAGGGTGATAGCAGGGCGACATGATTCCCCCAACATAGCACATTGTGTAGCTGTCTACATTTTGTGCATCTGTATGCATGTCGCACTCTAAAATAGTGGCTAAACAAGTAATAGCAATTGTAAAGGATTTCCCTATGACATTAATCTTTAACATTTTAATTGTGTTCCAGTTAATTATTATTATTATATTTGTTAATTAGACTTTTTATTTTATTAATTGTAAATTTTTTAATTGTAATTTAAATTTTTCTTTTGACTAAATAAACTTAGTGAGTTTTATATTACGTATTTTGAATATTTTGACATCTATATTTTGAAAATATTAATGTACACTTCATATATTTCACCATACACTCAATTGTTACTAATTTATTATAAAGTTGCTCACTAACAAACTATGGACATATGCTGTCTGGAAATAAAAGATTTTTATTTATTTTATTTATTGCTGACATTTTAGCTAAATTGAGTTATTAACATGTCTGGAATCAGCAAAACGAGATCTACAACACCCTCTAGTCGGTTTTTTATGTATTATTTAGTTTAAATTTTATTATTAAGTAAAATCAGTGTAAATTGAGTTCTTAGGTTTTCGCGATTGTTACACATAGGAAATGAAACTATTTTTCCGGATTTAAATCGCGTATATTTGTTTTTTCAAACAAACCAACGTTTCGGGCCCTTTACAGGTCCCATGGTCACGGTTGACTCAGTCGTCAAACGTCGGTTTGTTTGAAAAAACAAATATACGCGATTTAAATCCGGAAAAATAGTTTCATTTCCTAAGTGAAAATTGACTTTTTTTAGGTGGCAATAAAACTTTAGGTGCCAATATTCTCAAAAGTTACCGAAAATGCAAATGCGTTAGTTATGACAAAGCAGAGAACCAGGATCGTAGCACTTTCTGTGAGACAACAATAAACTGAGTGGACGACGGATTTTGTAGTAGCACAGAGTAAACTCTATTATTACTTAATTATTTTTTTATGATATAAGTGATGCGACGAACAAGTCGTGCGCCTGATGGTAAGCGACACGCCTGCCCATAAAAGTTGCAGTGCCACTCAGAGCTTTAAATCGCAAAGATCAGAGATGCACTGCCTTAGTGCCCATCACCCTGAGACATAAGTTGACAAGTCCCATGTGCCTGTAATTTTACCAGCACCCTTACCCTACAAAACCGGAATTCAGTAATGCTCACATTACTGCTTGGCGGCAGAAATAGGTAAGGTGATAAGTCGAATTATTTATTAATATGCTATGTATAATTGTATTTTATTACGTCGCACTGTTAATACAATAGTGTATTAACTCAAAAAGTGTATTTTCTCCGAATCGACGAAAAACGAATTACTCGGTTCCCGTAAAAGATCTGTGTAAATTTATGTACAAGTTATTTCCTACAAGTCCTCATTACATGCAATAAAATTGTACAATAATTTACCTATTCATATTAGAGACATAGAAAAAGACGTTGACTTTGAAAAATCATTGAAACAGTTATTAATAAAAAAAAAGTTAATATAATGTAAATGAATACATCTGTGATAAAAATTTGGTGGAATAATATAATTTAGTAGAGTATTTAGACTAATTTAGAATGATTTTTTTAAATATTTTTTATGTTATGAAATCTCCTTTGACATTTAGTTACTAATCTAAAAATTGTATTACCTATTTTTATTTTGTAAGTACTTGCCTCTCTTAAAAAAATTGTGTGTAATGTTAAAATTTTATAAATATAATATTTATTTAATGAATGTAATGCATGTATTGGAATTGTTTGATGTATATATTTTGTTGGTATAAATTTATTAATCTATTATAAAAAATCCCTCTGTAATTTGATATATATTACAGGGCGTCACATGATACATTACAATAATCTACCAACTTAAATTGTATTTTGTATGCTTAATCTGTGATATGCAAATAAATTATTTGACTTTGACTACATACCAAATACACATATCTAAAAATAAAAGAGAAAAAATAGTTTCATATTTTTGATTAAGGACAATTTTGGCCAGAACTAGCTCACATAAATCGTGTCTCATTTGTGTTGAGTTGAGTTAAGTAGTCAAGTAGATATCTTTTAGTTGTTTTTCACAATATTCTAACGACGGTTTTATTGACGTGTAGAGACTCAAATTTTACGTTCAACAATGGTATAATCTTGAATTTCACATATTTTAAGTTATAACACTATTGTAATAGCAGTACGATTTCTTAAATCATATAATGCGTGTATTCTATACTATAAATTATTTATTAACGACATGAACAATTATTCTTTATTTCTTCCTTTTAGAGTAAAACAAATCCAAAAATTGTTGAAACTACTTTATTTATTTTAATATTGTTCTTTCTTGGTCGTTTGTGAAAAAAAGTAATTGAAAAATTATGAAATATTATTATATTTCTGTAAATTTACACTAACTTTCTGTAAGTTTTAAGGTAACGAGAATATTGCGTAAATTGTGGAACAAACGTAACATCCAGGACAAAAGAATTGCTCAATACAGGACAACCTAAACACTCCGTAAATAAAACCGAGTATTGAAATCAATCGATCGGCATTTGATAAAGCGCGATAAAAGTTAAATGCGTGGATCAAATTTTCACAGCATTGCCATCATTCGTAGAATAGTTCTGAAACCAGATCGTTCGATCTCATTCTGTTTAAATGTATATTTTTTCATACTATTTGTTATACAACAAATGTGGTGAGTCAATACTGTTTCCTTTTTCATTAGAATAATAAAAAATCATTAAATTAAATTGATCGTTACTTTGTCTTGTTTTGATACATTAAATGTGCATTTTTTTTTAAATACCAAGCGACGACGAGGCGATCCGTAACAGTTGTAGTAACACTCAAAGCTTTTAATCGCAAAGATCTAAGGGACACTGCTACTGTGCCCGTGACCCTGAGACATAAGTTGATAAGTCCCATGTACCTAATTCACAAAAAATTGTGAACTCTTTAAAGACGAATCAACACTAGTTGGAAACAAGCATACGTTACGTTATACGGTACGTAATTATCGAATTCCTAGGTTGTCGCGATTGTTACACACACATTTGGAAATGGAGGAAATTAAACTATTTTTTCCGGATCTAAGTCGCCAAAAAACCAACGTTTAGGGACCTTTTCTGTACTAAAAAAAATTATTATTTGATTTATATATATCAATTATTTTATTTTTATTTATTTATTAGATCATTCCATCAGGAATACATTATTAAACATGGACATAAAATAACACTGCAGAAATTATTCGAGTGTAAGCTCAATAATAGGCAAATACAGCGTGCACATATAACATCGTATCAGAAGCGTTTACTGTGTGTTATAAATATTCATATTATATTCATATACTCTTTTGTTAAAATACTCCACTAGTTTGGTGTTATTATTAATGCAAAGACCGAACACCTAGAAAAACTTCCTTCGATCCGGCTGGATTCGAACCAACAACGTCTTCTAGCAAACCGTGTCAGATGCTGTGCTAACTAAACCACGGAACGAACCAGCGGACCTTACGAATTTCTCTGTGTTTGTTTCAGATCTTTGTTTTTGGTTTTCAACGAGTTCCTTTGCCGCAGCGCCATCTGTGAGAAACCTATTCCTTCCTTCGATCAGGTACCATTATAGCTACTAGAGATGTCGCTTTAATAACTGTAATTAAGTTTATTGAATGTCAGATGTTTCGCCACCATGATGTTCATGTCATTGTTTAATGTTTCAAATCATACTTTCAGGTCTACGCGTTTGGATTTGGCTTGACAGACATCGAAAAGGAATTCTAAAAACGCGGAAATTCGCATAACTCTTTACAAATGGCCGTATACATTATTTTATTACTTAAGTTGATTTTTTATATTTATTATTTTACTAAAGTATTTTATTAGTAAACATGTCTTAACAAATAGATACAGAAAGGAATGTTATATAATCTTACTGATTTATTAATTTTACTTGTAGTTCGATCTCGAATGGCTCTTTTTCATTGGTTGTTACGACTGTAGAAAATTGATAATTGTAAAACCATAGCATAATAAGACAAGTAGGGTAACTCCACACCATTAGCATCAGCAGTAGAAATCCTTGTGAAAGAGTTCGTCCAGGGAAGTACTACCACCTTATCTATTTCTGCCGCCAAGTAGTAATGTTAGTATTACTGCTTTCCGGTTTTGAAGGGTAAAGGAGCTGGTGAAATTACAGGCACATGGGACTTGTCAACTTATGTCTCAGGGTGATGGGCGCAGTGGCAGGTCCCCTCAGATGTTTGCGATTTAAAGATCGGAGTGCCACTGCAACTGTTATGGACAGGCGTGTAGCTTACCTTATAGCGCACGACTTATTCGTCCCGTCACTTGATATTAAAAAAATAAAAACGTAGCAGCGCGACTTGTATATGTGCGTTTACGGGCACATACATTCGCATCATCTCGCGTGCACTCACGTTGCTTAGTGCGGGTCATCACACGCGCCATTCGTTATAGAAATGAAGAGCTGCTCGCTGTTTAAAAGATTACATCAAATAGTAAACGAGTTTATTGCTGTGCTTATTAAATGGTGGTTTATTTCTTTTATAAAAGTGCGGATAGATTTTGACGTTCATAGCGGCCATGTTGTTGAGGCTGTTTCGAGCAACACGTGCAAATGACAAAAAATGATTATAAAAAAATGGGTGTAATATTGTGGCAACAATACGCGCGTTGTGCCCATTGTACAGTTTACGTGGTCGTGCTTCCCAGTAATTATTCTATGTCTGATGGCCAAGTTCGAATCGACAGGTTCAGTGAACCATCAGCCAACACCCGCACGTCAACGAAACGGAACATCTGCTGTAAACATCGCCGCTGTACGTGAGTGCTCAGGAGAACCCGAGGCAGTCTATTACGCGCGCATAGCTGCCACAATAGAACTCCCATGTTGATAAAAAAATTTGTTATTTACACGTGTTATTCGACGGTGTACCATGCATGGTGATTTATCTTTAGTGAATGAAAAACAATAAACAACAGATTTGACAAAAGCAGCCTCAACAACATGGCCACTATGAACTATCAAAATCTACCCGCCCTTGATGGAAAACCCTTTCTTTCGTCACCAAGTAGGGTGAGGCCAAGCTGGCGCTCGGCCTTGTATCTCATACTCGTCCAGCAATCCCTTGAATTACGTAACGTAGATTAAATTTGGTTTCAATAAAATATTGCAATTTGTACCACCTAACGTCGTTTTAAAAGTTTAATTAATCCACCTTTTTAAATTATTCGCTCTGCCATTATGGCTTAGGATAATGTTATTTTTTTTCCATCCTCTAAGCACAATGGAGATGTGATAGAAAAAAACAAGGACGTGTCAAGTGTCATATTTTTTGGATTAATGCGAGCAAAATTCATCGAAAAGTGAATTATATTTTGATACTCGAAATTTATTCCTTAAAAAGTTTCTTTAAACTATCAAACTTATTCGTGGCCTCAAAATTTTCTGTTACAACTATAATATGAAACATATCAATACAAATACTTCACACCGATTTTGTACAAGATAAGCAGTGTTTTTTACCGTTTAAGTTCTAGGTATATATGAATGCCGTTAGCAATGTGGTTTGTATTTTTGTGTGTTTAAAGCCTTTCCGTTACATTTATAACGGTCAGAGAAGGTAGTCCAAGATATGAGGACAAGCATCTAAAAGCGATGCCACAAGGGAGCTGCCGGTGCGTTGTGTCGTCGCAACGTACCGAGTGTCACACGAGCAATGCGATGTCGCAACGTAAAGCCACTTAATTACGTATCGCAGCACCCCTCCCCGATTCGTCTCCTGAGGGTCTACTCCCGTTGGTCGTCCGATATTCATCCGAAACAATTACTGTCAAATAAGTAATACTCGACCAAGTTAAAAAAGATAATGTCATTGAATTAGGTCAGGTATTACTTATTTGACAGTAATTGTTTCCGACAAAATGTCGAACGATAATGAGAGTAGATTCACTGGCCCCTTGTTCGATGCGCTTGCGTTTCGTCGCCGTTCGCCGTTTCACCGCATCATGTAGTATGTAGTTCTAATTTATATAACACAACGCGGCGTATCGCACACGCGTGTGTCATCGCTCTTACCATACAAAATCGTTTAGGACTGTTGGACTCACTGCTACGTAATAGTCATGGTATTCTGTATATTCGTTTAAGGTGAATTTCTTTAAAATACATTTATGTGCGTAAAATAGTACTATAAATATTCTTTTTTCTTAATTCTCACAGATTCAGTGATGATAATAATGAACATAAAAAAATTTTTCTTTGTTCCAGCATCTTCATTGGTGTTATTTTTTTCTTAGTACTCGGGATGATCTTGTTATATAAATGTGATGCCTTGATCGGTAATGTAGGTAAATATTCATTTTTGCCACTAAAAGAAGATTTATGGACTAGTAAAAGGGATTATCTTTGAATATATATTATTCCTCGTAGCACGTCAATAGTATACTTCTTCGTTGCTTTAATCTACTCACATCTGAAAATTTAATTGAAATTAGTTGGTTGTTTGACCTACCGCCTCTCAAGCAAAGAGTCGTGGGTTTTCGACATTTATGTGTGAAATGTTATTTAAAATTTACCATGAGCTTTTCGATGAAGGAGAACATCGTGACGAATTCTCGCCATATCTGCAAAGCAATTTCATGATTTGTGTGAAATTTCCAACCCGCATTGGGTCCGCGTGAGAATTACAGCCTAAAGGCCTAAAAGTGGGACTATACAGGGTGATTTTTTTATCACTAGCCAAAGAAGGATGACGACATCACGTGTATTTTGTGACTCAGTGTTTTTGACGACGTGCATTAAAGAGACCTATTAATACTTGTGATTCATTATCATAGCATCAAAAAAGCTAATTGGGTACAGCCTGTAAAAGCTGGGATTATAAAGTTGATATAGGTTATGTTTAAACATTGTCCTGTATTTCGCTTCATAATGCTTGTTCGCAGTAGCAAAAAACGAAGTTTTCAGTTTGTTCCCAAAAATAATAAAGAACTTGCTAAATATTCTCATATGTTCCAAACTCTGCCACATTTGATACAACGTTAACATGTTCTGCCGCAATGAAAATGAATAAAAATTGAATCTGCCCAAATGGCAGAAATCTGCAACAAAAATGGTCACATTGTTTTCAATCTCTCTCAATGTGATATTGACATTGGCATAAGGCCTCTTGTCAAAACATTCCTTTGCTACCTTTCTTATCTCTCATTTAAATATTGTCTAAACATTTTTGTCACATTGTTTTTATTTTTTATTTTATGTCATCACTGTTTAATTGATTATTTGATTAGGTATTTAATAGCTTTAATGTTTTATGCGTGTACTATAAAATAACCAATACTTTAGGCAGGTAAACATTCAATGAATGCTTAAAGTGAAACGTACTTACGAGACCGTTACTTAAACTATGGTCGAACTGAATCAATTGCGTTATGTTCTTGCATTTATTCTAAAATACTTTGTTTTACAATTTCTTCATTCCCGACTTCTAAAAATATACAAAAATATATTGATAACTAGGAATAAGCTAAAACATAAAATCATACTAGCAAAGTCCATGAAAGGCCCTTCGTTGAGTTTAATTATTATTGGGTCAGCTTTCGCCATCCTTCTTTTAAATTTTATCATGACCTAACACCCGCAATTGTTTAAATAAAAAATACATTAATAACATCTGCATAACGTATTTGTTTCTCACGACATATTCCTATTCATTCGCCTGACTGTTGTATTGAATAGGTAACCAAACATTATCAATTATTATTTTGGACAAATAATTTTTTAATGTGGAAATCAATGTTTTTTCAAAAATGGAGTCTTTGAATGATACCTAATGCGTAGAAAAAATGGCTACTGATAAAAGGTCACCCCGTATATGGGATAACTATTATTAATAGATTTTATAAGGGTGCTGGTGAAATTACAGTCACATGAGACTTATCAATTTATGTCTCGGGGTGTCGGGCGCAGTGGCAGTGCCCCTCAGATCTTTGTGATTTAAAGCTCTGAGTGGCACTGCAACTGTGAAGGACAGGCGTGTCGCTCACCACCAGCTACACGACTTGTTCGTCCCGTCACTTAATATTATAAAAAAAAAAAGAAAAAATGTAGCAGCAGTAGACCTCATTGTAAAAGAGTTCGCCCAGGGAAGTACTGCCAATTGATATCATAAAAAAATATATCATTATTAATACAAAGATCGTCGACGAACGACGACGTGACCCGAACCAGCTACTGTCGCCTAAATGAGGCAACCACTCTTACCAATCGAGCCCTAGTTTAAAAAAAAGCTAGTGGAGTATTTTCACAAGAAACTAGATGAATAAATATCATAGTAGTCAAGATATCATGATATTCAATAAAAATTTATATTAAAAAAGGTAATTTTTACTTTCCGTCGTCAGCTCCGTCCTTTTTTAGCAAGACGATCACAACTGAGTACTTTTAATGGAACGATTAAGTTCGTGAGGTCACAAACAATATTGCCGTTTGTTCTGAATTTTTTAATGAATGTAACTTATTTCGTTTTACTACGAATTTCAATTATATTTTCACACATTACCATCAGTTTATATATTGGTATAATGGTGTTGCATTAGTGTAATTTAAAAGTTTTGATAATGAGTAGTGAAGTTACAAGTCTAGAAATGTTGTGATCACGTGAAAAGTTTAGTTAGCCAATTATTCAATACATTACATTATATTATACATTTTATTTAGCCAATTATTCAATACAGTCATACAAGATATGACTACACAGCGATAGCTAACATTCTTATTAATAAGAATGTTCTGTATTTAAAAGATGAACAATATTAATAGCATCAAAATAAATTAAGAAACAAAAATCACAACACAATTTAAATAATTTAATATTTGCATTGTCGTACTTGTCTAATTATTCAACCTGATGCACAAGCGATGACCCAAAATATAACTCCTTCCTTATACCTCGTTCAAACATGCTAAGAGTTTTCATTATGGAAAGGAAATTTGTAGCAGTAGCTTCTGAAAGAATTCGTCCAAGAAAGTACTGCCACCTTATCTATTTCTGCCGCCAAGCAGTAATGTTAGCGTTCTGGTTTTAAAGGATAAGGTGCTGGTGTAGTTACGCGCACATGAGACTTGTTAACTTATGTCTCAGGGTGATGGGCGCAGTGACAGTGCTCCTCCGATCTTTGCGTTTTAAAGCTCTGAGTAGCACTGCAACTGTTATGGATAGGCGTGTCCCTTACCATAAAAAAAAACGATCCGTCAATTAGTATCATAAAAAAAAAAACCAAGTCAAATTATACTAACGCGCGACGCAAACAATATTCCTTTTTTACGCATGGAGCTATAAAACCCCACGCTAACCGTATTCACGTTTAACGAGGTTAGTATATAGGATTTCGCAGGCAAACACATAAAAAGGAATGTCTTCTACATTAGGCTTAAACCAAACCTACGGCTCTGTTTACGCGTGCCACACGTCGCTTACTACTGTTAGCGTGTACCGCTCGCCAACGTATGGGCGATCGCTGGCCAAAGATGGACCATCATCGCTCGCCAACGTATGGACGATCGCTCGCCAACGTATGCACGATAGTCTGATCACTGTGAACATTGCAACCATACGTATTTATACCGCTATGTTTATTTAGGTATTGCAGGGAGTCTACCCCGACAGCCGTCCGAAACAACTACTGTCAAATAAGTAAAACTCGACCAAATTAAAAAGACGCATGATGTTAATGAAGCTATAATAATAATAATAATTATAGGCAAAATACGTAAACGGTGCGTGCTTTGAGACTTTATAACAATGCGACAGTAAATCATTCTGAGTTTGATTTGTTTTGTTCAAGCATAGACACAGTCAGGCTTGAAATGACCAAACGTCGCTTTGACACATCACGTGATTGGCGATGAATACACTGGTTTATTCGTTTAATTCTTAGACTTTTTTTCCTTGCTCTAAGGTTTAATTGTATGTTAATAGTAATTTTTATTTTATTTTTAAATTTATTGTCTGCGTTCTTTGTATTCTCCTATAATCTCTTTTTGTCCCTTAATCTCGCTAAGCTCTTTATATTGTTTCATTTTGCTGGAAATTCGTAAATGACATTGGATTACTCATATTTAAGTATACTATAATTGTATTATTTGTCCGCGAATTTTCCTAAAATGTATAAATAAAGTAATAAATAAAATGATAGCATCATACTTCTCACTGTCTTTTGATTTGGTCGAATATTACTTATTTGAAAGTAATTATTTCGGACGGAGGACGGGATTAGACCCACAGAAGGGGATACATTATACTAACATTCTGCCGAAAGTTGCGTCTGTGAGACAATAGAAAATGTGTCTATTGTCCTGTCCCATGGTCCAGATATCAGCCCATTTAACCCCGTTTAGTTTTCACTTTTTGTATTACCCCTAAGAGCAATCACTAACCATTGTAAGCGGAGATAAAAGATGCACGCAACGTGTATCTTTGGCAAAATTATGATAAAGCTCTGAAAAGGACGTGTTATCCCCTTGTGCCCAGAGCCTCTCAAAGTCCCGTGCCATTTCGGCGTGAGATATCATTAGACATTATAATTACCATTAGTGATAGGCTTTTTCCAAGGTATGACTTTTAGTCTTTCTACTGATCATTATTTTGTAACTAATGATCACGAAAGAAGTCTAATGTTAATATTGTATAATTTTTCCGTCACAAATAAGATTAATCAGCAGCTCATTAAAATAAATACGACAATTTTTATTTGTCCTGCGGTCGGCATATTAAAATATTTATTTTTCGTACAATTTCAGGTAAAAGTTTCAACACAAAAATTGTTGCGTAAATTTAAAGTGCCTTGAAGTAAAAACGTGATTGATCGTACTGTGTCGGAAAGTGAAAAATTATGGGAGATAAATAAGTAACTAGTAATGTTAATAATAAACAAATTTTGTAACTACTTTTTGTTTTTTTTTTGTTTTTTAATGTATAGTACGTAGAATTAAGGAGCGGCAGTAATCTGGACATCGATAGTTAATTTAACGTAATGCAGTAAGTATTGTTGCCGATGGATGGATTGAATGTAGCCAGTGTTGTGTCGATGCAGGTTTTTACACATCCGGGAACGCTGGTGCTGATTCTATCTACTCGTATTAAAAAGAAAAACGTGAAAATGTACATTCTTACTTAATCTATCTACATGAAAATGTTCTCGATTTTCTTTAGTCTTGTAATAAAATATTATTTCAATATTTTCAATCAATCAAAATAGCTTAATAGTAATGGAATTTTATCAATGTTAATATTTAAAAATTCAAAAGTTCGTGGTAGAATATTGTCTTCAAATTTAAATGGGACCACTACTGAGGACCCTCTTTCCAACAAAAAAAGAATCCTCTAAATCGGTTCATAAAGTTAACGCATAACATACATACAAAAGAAAGTACAGTCGAATTGATAACTTCGTCTTTTATTGAAGTCGGTTAATTATTTTTTACAACCAGACAACCTTGACAAACTGGTAAGGTGGAGAAAAAGAGACCCCGCGGTCGTTCACCTAGTCGATGGAGTAACCAAGTGACCGCCCTCACTGGCCTCCCTATAACAACTGCCAACAAGACAGAACCATGGAAGAAAGTCATCAAAAAAGTTTTAAAAACCATTCCTAGAGCAACCTTCAGCAATAAAGCTAACCACTACGAAGAAGAAAAACAACACTGAGCTGCTTTTTTAGCCTGTTTCCAGCGTGCCTTTTAGGTCATGTTACTTCTCGAACATCCGCAATTCATGAATGCAAAGGCTGAAGCGGATGGGGATATTTTGATTCTTCCGCTGATGCGAATGCGGATCCTGATACTCGCAACAACCCTGTTAAGTATGTACTATGAAGAATAAGTCCTTGAATACTGAATGTTACGCGACCTTGTATTCCATTGAAAAACGTGGCAAGAGGCTTAGCGGTGACTCGGGGTTAATAGAGTTGAAAATGCAAAGCCTTGAACAGAGCCGTAAAGTTTCCTGCTTATCTGTTGTACTGGATATATCACGGAGAGTTTGCTATGGAATTGCGTGAAATAATTCTGCTTTGCATCTTCTGGGGACTAGGCATGTGCTGGGATTCCATCCCTATGTTTTGATATAAAAAAGATTTTTATGGGGTACACCTATATTTATATGGGGTATGGTACATGAGTGGAATGCACTGTAATAATAATAATAATAATAATAAATTTATTTGCCATCATATTAATACAACATGCATAGGGTCGTATTCCAGAACTCTACTCAATACTCAAGTCAGGACTTGAGTATTGCAGTGAGCACTGAAAATCATACTCAAGTCCTTGCTATTAGGGTCGTATTTCCAGTGCTTGAAATCTTACTCAAGTCTGCTCAAATCCTGACTTGAGCATTGAGTAGAGTTCTGGAATACGACCCATAGTGTAGTAAGTATCAAGTAATCAGTACATATGACCGCTGATATGTACTTAAAAAAGGAAAACCTGTGCTATACGTACCAGCAAATCTTCCAATGGCATAGTAAAATATAAAATAGTCATTTTTTTATTTATACATTATGCAAACATTTTATACACCAATAAAATAGTATAAGAAAAAAATTGTAATTTGTGGGGACAGCAAGGAGTAAAGTTAAATTAATCTAAATTATATAATCAGTGCCTGCGTGCGTGTGCGTGCGTATACGTGCTTGTATATACATATGTTGTGCGCGCGTGTGTGGCTTGCATGTGTGTGGGACAAACAGTGCGCACTTGATGTGAAAACACTTCACAGCTGACTTATTCTGCGAACGCTATAGCCTAGGGCTTTTCAAGGCGAGAGTGAATATGTGTGATGTAGGGTAGATGTAGGTCAAATGTGCACGAGTTTCATTTTTTTAAAATTGAGTCTGTCTTTAGATTGGTACTTGTTCACAGAAAGTTGTCCTTGAACGATCAATTGGAAGTAAAAACACTGAGTAGCTGGATAGTATCACTTCAGGTTGTGTTGCATTTGCTACTGTGTTCCGGTTTTAAAGGAAGGATGCTGGTGAAATTACAGGCGCATGGGAGTCAGCTCTTCTCAGGGTGTGAGGTGCAGTAGCAGTGTCCCTCGGATCTTTGCGATTCAAAGCTCCGAGTGGCACTGCAACTGTTATAGACAGGCGTGTCGCATAAAACCAGGCGCACTTGTTCATCTAGTTATTTGGCATCATTGACTTACAGTCAATGTTTGGCATCGTAAAAAAATATTGGTATTTGACTAGTGAACGCGGTCCTCCTCCTCGTTCTAAATTATTTATGCGAACCATATTATTATCTGTTCAACAAATTTGGTTATTGTGTTATAAAAGTTTCTCCGTTATAAATTATAAAGACAAAAGTTAAAAACCTTATAAGTGGCAGAAACGCTAACCACAAAAAGCCAAGAAATTTAGAAAAAAAGTGAATATCTTATCAAGTTCCTTATTTGAAACATCTCATTTTTAAAATTCAAACCATGAATAATCGACGGTTGTAAATATGTCAATATTCAACAAAAAAGAAACCTTTTGAAAAAGAAGTCAAGAAATCTTAAAAATACATTTTGTTATAATTGCTCCAGTTACACTTAAATTTTATCTATATTACTATTCTCATAAGAATAACCAAATAGTCTTAAGACGACGTACCTATATTGATTGCGAAATAAATCAGTTCCATCAGTCATGTCCTGGTAAGATATTTTCTGCATCACTTCGGTGTAGCCTCCTCTATTCCTTAAAATTAATCCTAATGACATGGACCAAGAAAGTTGTGGATGGAGGGGCGTTCTAGTATTTGTTTGTTCTTGGATAATTACAAATTAAGTAGGTACATAAAGTATCTCTTTACCATGAACACGGAAAAGTTCCTAACAAAAAAAGTCAGGGATTGCTTAAGACTGGTGCTTGCCAATAATTTAGATTGGTAGCAAGGGTGTCAGTGCTGTCCTACCTATCCGGTGTGTACCAGTATACAGTAAGTATTTCTGCAGCAAAACAGCACCGCTACCGAAACACAGCGGTGCTGTTTTTATTAATGTCCTACGACCGGGAACACGTCAAAGATCTTTGGACAGCACTTTCGATGAGCTCAGTTTCCTTTGTAATTCTTCGAAATAGGTATATAAGCTGTTTATTTGAAATTTGCGTTGCTAGGCGGTATCCAATTTGTTGGTATTTATGACTACAATCCTGAAAGTTTTCTTCGGTGAACACAATTTCAAATTGTATAATGTCGAATGATTTCATTAGCGTTATTAACTTCCACCGGACTCAACAAATCGATACCACATTATTTCAGTTGGCAACCGTAATCTTGACAAGAAGTATCTTTACAAAAATATATTTAGATTAGCGATAATATTATTGATTGGTTGCCTATAGAAATTTCCTTTTAACCTCGTAACGTTTTGAATGGGTAAAATAAATGTTTTGCTAAGAGTGCGTACAGATCTGGCTCTATGTGCGCGAACGGCACACGAACAGATCGTTCGCGCACAGGCGCATTTGCGGCGCGTTCGCCAGATCTGTACGCACCCTAACGAATGTACTTGCACAAAGTAACGGCGGGGTACACAAGGCGAGCCGGGCGAAGCGGGCCGCATCCTGCGCACACACTTTGTTTGCCGGATCGAGCACTAATGGTTGACGTGTACGTGTTTTAAAATATTTTTTAATACGTTAGTTCTACAAAAATCGTCGTATTATGTATATTGTACAATGCGCACTTAAATTGTTCTATATAGGGATGCAATATTGGAAACAATAGATAAATTATGTGACTTACAAATAAAGTAGAATTTAAATCATGGCCATGCTCATGTTTCCCCCAAACTTTTATGATTAACCGAATACGAATACATTGTTAAATTTAATAATAGAAAACTGAAAAATTCTAAAAAATAAAGTGTCAAGTAAGTATTTGGCGATGAAACACTTGTAAATTTTTATTGCTAGATAAGTAATAAGATAAGCAATAATTATTGTTAATTATTACTTATCTATAAGTTATATTTTGTGACAATCCTTGCATATCTACGTATAACAGAGCAACTACGTGCACAAGCGACGATATCGCCGACGATCAGAGGCGTTGCGCTACTGTAGGGAAGATATTGTAAAACTGGTATTATTAGGTATACTTTTCTCTCTCTTCCATCGGTCCCCCACTGCTGAGAATCGTACCTAGAATCGTACACCTTCAATAGCATTGCTCTCCATGTCCCGCTTTTCGCTAGGTGGAGACCAACATTCACCGGTAATGCCGATTTTCATCTACCTGGTCACACCTTTGTCCGCTTGGTCACTTGATGTCTGTTTTTCCCGTGACTATATTAAGAATTTCTGGATTGCCCATCGCACGAACCGAATACATGTATATTTAAGGAATTACAGTTGAAAAATCACCAATGATTGTCTTCTGTCTGTCTGCTGCATATTTTTCAATCCTGGAGCCACTTAGAAACGTTAAAAATATTGACCGCTTATTAGGAGTACTGCAATTTTCTACAACGTGCCGAATTATACATTGGCAACGTATTATATTACACTTTGGCAACGTATTATATTACACTTAATATTGTTACAGTTGCAGATATTTTACTGACCATCTTACGCACGTGATAACACTTGCTCTAGGCTTAGCCGGTAAAGTGCTTGCCAGCGCCGTGACCTTAGGATTCTTCTTTTATATAGCTTTTATCTTCCTAATGGCCTTGGGAATTATAACTGGTAAGTTTCAAATTTCAATTATTCTTCTGTACCTATTGAGACGTGTACAAGTCTGTTAGGAATTTCCTTCTATGTCACTGTTACAGCGCGTAAAATTGTAAGTTGTTGTTAAATTTGAAAAACGAAAGAACGATCTTTATTTTAAATCTGCGTATTAGACTTCTGGTTACACCCAGCTGTCATGAACATAAGATACAACTCGGTATGACACTTTTACACCGGCGAGACGAGGCGAATCGACTCAAGGCGAGACGAGGCTTGACGAGGATTTTCTATGGCTTTTGCCTATTGAATTTTGTATGAATCGGTGATAATGGTCTGGATTAACGAGGCGGAAATTGTAATATTTGGTGATATAATACTAAACCGTATTGGTGCCTACATGGAGTATTATACTCTGCAACAAAAACGCACGATATCGCGCGAGCTCGCTATTAATATCAATCGCGAGATTGTGAGGTAATCTCTCCTCCGCTAACCGCCTCTTAGATCAGCAAAAAAAAATTCAACATATAAACATAAATAAATATCTCTGGAGTTACATAACATTGTAAGTTTTGAAAATAAAACAAGAGTGAGAAACACTTTTAAACTTCAAACTACTATATCTCGAAAGTGATTGAATGTGCAATGGATCCTTTGTGTTTTACTACGTCCATTGCAATTTGATAAACCATATCATAAAGGCGCTCTTTTTAGTTACGAATCAAAATTCTGAAAAATTTCATTACAACTCTGTACACAGTACTATAATGAGTAGGTAAGAGTACTACTGTACACAGAGCTATAATGAGTTTCGAAAAAGAACGTCGTATATTTGCTAATGAAAACATCAATTGACACTACCCAAAACGCTATACTGCCTCCTGATTGGTTAAATTGGCCAAAATGTTTTGCAACCAGGCCATAAACGCCATAAAATTTCTAGCAACACGCGGGAATCGAACCCGCTTTAATCTGAAAAAAATGCACCCTGCACTTTTATTGCATCGATCGATAGGGTTAATTCTAAGAATAAAATCTCTCACACAAAATTGGTTAATTAAATGAAAAAAAACCAATGAAATCTTAACGTATTTTAATAAAACGACAAAATGGTAATCTAACTAATTAGTTGCTCGAAATGAGCTCCATTTTCTTGGATACACAAATTTAATCTTTTAACGAATTCATTTTGAGTAACTTTTAATAGCGTGTTGTGATGAATTGTATTACAAATCGTATTCTGAACCTCAGCCTTCAACTCGTTAATTAACAAGTAACCTGATGGACCTTTGAGTAAAAGTGCTTTAACTTGACCCATTGAATTTATAACTCCAGATTTTCATGGTTTGTAAGAGAGATTTCATCCTCATAATTGACCCTATCGATTGATTTAATAAAAGTACAGGGTGCAATTTTTTAAGGATTTTAGCGGGTTCGATTCCCGCGAAAATTTTTGAATGCAGTAGTATTTCTTTTTAAAAATAAAGGAATGTTTCATTTAAGTAAAAATTTATATCTCCAGTATTTAACGTACTTTCCTTCCAAGTGGTATTACAAATTTCCACCCTGTATATAATATAGTAGGTGGTTTAAGTATAGACTCGGCGATTTTGTACGAAAAATCTAAATTTAATTAACTTTCCATCAATATTATAGTTGTTGTCGTAGCATCAACTGTAATCGTGAAAATGTCATTATATTTCTTTCTTCTTCTGCTGCTGTGCCGATTAAGCAAGTTCTGGAAGAAGCTCGCTATCGTGTTTTAAAGCTTTCTTTTCCATGCAGGTAATTTGGAGAATCCGATACTAAAAGAAAAGGGAAAGGTGAAGCCACCTTCTGAGCAGTAATCCCGTACAACGTTCAGGAAGCAAATTCGTATTGTCCTATTATGTCCGTAAGTGAGAAGGCTGCGTAGTCAGATCAAACTGTGTGATTGCGTCATCAGCATGGTACAATAATTAGGTGTGATCCTCTGTGGCTGGACCACCTCTATAAGTACTCGATTGCAGTAGTACAAAATATGGTGGAACCTTTGCCTACTCAAATAAATGGGTGAAAATTTATTAAAAGAAACAAAACTGCGACAACAAGTATTTTTGAATTTGCTATAATTTCGTTCGATAGATGTACTATTTTTTAAACACAGGTACTAAATATTATAATTTAGGTACATTTCTTTGATACTAAATTTGTCAGGATAAATAAATAAATAAATAAATAACGCACACACTCAACATAGCCCCGCACTAGGGAAACCCTGTGTCGCGGGTGCCATGGACACACACATAGACAACCACAAATTACACCCAAACTCACGAGAGAAATAAATGTAAGCCATACAAACATTTCTCCCGGCCCGGGAATCGAACCTGGGACCTCTGCGTGGCAGTCCGGCATGGTAACCGTTCGGCCACGGAGGCAGTTATAGGATTCGAGATATACCCGCCATTCTGACTCTCACAAAGAAATACTCCTTGGCCGCGCTACATACTTTGAAGGTTTAGGATATAAACAAATCAAAATTTAATAAGAGAAATAAATATATCAACGGGAAGTAGATTAATAGTACTTATTTTTTAATATATCACATAGTTAAAATTAACAATCACCAAGTAGAATCGCTGCAGAGCATACTCCCCAGCCGGACCACAACCTACATCTAATAACTTCTAATGTCATTTATTATAACTACATTTTCTTTCTATACAAAGTATCCTTTAGGTACTTTTATTCTGGGAATATTGCTTTCTTGAAAGTGTATCACGTTTTTCTAAATCCAAGGAGGCGCGGCAGGAGAGTACTGCTTTGCGGCCGGACCACCTAAGTAGTTAAATATTTCGTTATCTATCGAGGTACTATTAATTTTGTTGTTTATCTAGGAACCAATGACTTTAGGTACCAATTATTTTGCACTACTGCATCCGAGTAATATAGGTGGTCCGGCCACAGAGGATCACACAATAATTAGTAGTGGTACATGGTGCAACTGGAATATCATTTTATTATTAATACAAAATGGAACACTAAGAACAATCCTTTCGATCTGACAACACTTGCGTCTGTGCCATAAATACCAGGGCGAGCACTCTACCAACTGAGCTTTAGATCGAATCAGCAGAGGCCTGAGTGTAAATTTGTAATTATTACTTTACCGTATCTATTTCTGCCACCAAGCAGTAATGTTAGCATTACTGAGTTCCGGTTTTGAACGGTAAGGGTGCTGGTGAAATTACAGCCACATGGGACTTGTCAACTTATGTCTCAGGGTGACAGGCGCAGTGGTAGTGCCCCTTAGATCTTTGGAATTTCAAGCTCTGAGTGGCACTGTTATGGACAGGCGTGTAGCTTACCATCAGGCGCACGACTTGTTCGTCCCGTCGCTTGATGTTATAAAAGACAAAATTAAAACTTAATTATCGCGTTTGTTTTAAGATTTTTTATTTAGATCTTAATAATATTATGTGCATAAGGTTTAAATTAAAAACTTAACGCAAACGTGATAGTTAAGTTTACTTTGAAAACTTAAACTAAAGACTCTGACCTTATGATTTTTTTATGCGTTTGTTATTCATTTGTTTTTGTTTTTAACGGCTTTTTGCCGCCGTTTTTTGTTTGTAGCGCTTTCTAGGCTTTCTAGGCTAGGTACCATTACAGCTACCAGAAGTTGACAAGAGATGTCGCTATGTAAAGTGTAATACTGATTGTAATTTTATGAGGTTTCCTACCATGTGTTAGCGTAACGAATACAAATTACAACTTGTATCGATTATTGTCATACCTTAAGCACGTAATCGATTCTAACTTATTATTGTAATTGAAAGGTTTTTCATATTAATTATGGTTTTTTTAAAGTACGTCTAAATTAATGCCTGCCTGATATCATTTCTGTATGTCAGTTTAGCAATAATAACATTTAAAAGTATCTAAATCCCTTTATAAAAGAAATGCCAATCAATCAAGCATCGATCTACCAAAAGCGTTAACCAATGAAATCACAATCTGTTAACCCACCAAAACGGTGGTGGGGCGAAGCTTAATGGTATGGTCACTAAAGAAAATTTATGCAGTCTGTGTTCGAATTTCCTAGACAGAGGTAATGTTGTGAATACTGTGCCGGTGCCGTATATAAAGGTTGTTCATTTATACAGGTATGTACTAACTGTCTTCTTTTTATTATGTAATTTAGTAACGAACTATCATGTATATTACTTGCTTAAAAGGAAATAAATTATTGAAAGTGAATTGTATTAAGCTGTTTCCTTTCGTGCCTTAAATGCTACCTTACTTACTCAAGTCTTTACTTGAGAATTTGCTAACAAATTTCAGAAGTGGTAACGAACTTAAATAAATAAATAAAAATAATAATAAATATTATGGCACTTAAATACTCTTAATACAATTATTTTCATAAGCCTTGTGCTCACTTTTTTATAATATGGAGCGCACATAATTTAGTAATGCCCCATTTACAGAGTGTTTGTATGTGTTTGAAACAACGGCACGACATGCAATTATCTTTAATTTGACATTTTATTAAGATAGTTTAAGTCCTTTATTTATTTACTGCATAATTATCTCAAATTGCACAGTAAAATTTGTAAAGTTCGAAGTCACAATTATCATTGATAATTAATTCAGATATGTTTATATATATGTAATTACTTATTACATCGCGACAATACTCGTAGATGATTTTCATTTAATTAAAAAAAAAATTAAAATACGGAATTTTATTTATTTCATTAGTTTAATTTATTATTATTCGAGCTATGTATGAATTTTATTAACTGCTTATAGCTAGGATTATTGCTTCGATTATACATAGCTCGTCATAGTGTGCAATAAAAGCTGGTTATGCCGTTTTACTACAATATTTAGAGTGCAAACATTTTTTTTTCAGAATTTTTTATATAAACTTCAAAATTTTTTATTTTTTATTTCATTTAATATTATTCAAGGAGCTTATGAGTTTTATTACCTGCTTATTGTTAGGATTATACCGACTGCTCCGATTATACACAACTCGTTATAATGCGCAATAAATGGTGGTTCCGTGTTATTACAAAATCTACAATGCAAACATATCTGTCGCCGCTATTTTTTTTTTTCAGAAAATGGATTCAGAGATTGATGCGGGTCAACAAAGAGGTAGTAATCGTAGTCGCCAATTAAAAATACCACCACGGGCTGGGGGTGTACTGCGATCTTCTCGTGCGCCTAGAAGTGAACGGCCACGTACTACAACGAGGAGCCGCAGCCCACTCTTGTTTCGCGGTGTTACAGTGCGTGGTGATGCCGATGAAAGGGTGTCACAACGCCGAAGTCGGGAACCAACAAGGCGCAATATCGAGCATCGGCCGTCGTGCTTACGAAGTAGGCACACTTCTCATGACGGCGCGGGTTGAGCCCTCGTTGTAAAAGAGATCGTACTCAAAGTTCTTCAAGACAGAGGATGCATGAGTTTTTCACTCAACTGACTAATTTTGTTGATAGTTCTAGTAGCAATATGAGTAGGGATACTTTTTCTAATATCAATGTTGTTCCTGAATTTGATCCGTCAAAGAAAAATCAATCAATTCATATTTGGCTTACTAAAGTAAATGAATGTGCGAGGATGTACGGATGGAGTGAAAGGCAAATTATTCACTACGCATTACCGAAATTGTCAGGAGTAGCCAAGAAGTGGTATGAAGGGTTACCGTCAGTGTTATTTTCCTGGTCGGAGTGGCAGATGAAACTAAAATCTGCATTCCCTTCCGAAGAGAATTATGGTCATATGCTGCCGGATATGCTAGATAAGAGAGCTAAGTACGGAGAATCGTTGGAGGATTATTACTTATTTTTTTATTTATTTAAAAATGTCGCTTATTAATCGTTGCAACATACCAGGCAAGCAGGCGGTTGAATGTGTTCTGTTTGGAATTGAGGGTAGGTTTGTGCGAATGGGAGCGGAAGCAGCTCAGTTTAGTGATCCCGACCGGTTGTTAGCTTATTTGAGAAACGTTAAGGTTAGAAAACAGGAAACGTCCAAGAATAAAGAAATTAAAGATGTATTTTGATCGGCGGATAATGTTAAATGGCATTTGCTTCAATGTTTTAATTGTAAAGCAGAAGGTCATACGGTTGCAAAATGTAATAAGCCTGTTAAGAGATGCACCTATTGTTCACTAGTCGGATATTTGGAATCCGAATGTTTTCGTTCAAAGAATAGGGTGACAAGCATCTCTACAACGTAGATATGGCAAAGCACTTTTTGTCTGTAATTAAATATATTGTTATGCGATTTTTCAACAAGTTTACTATTATTGTAAATTGCTGCCAGATGATTACATTTCTTACATTTTTCATAACTTGAATTTCTCGGGTAATATGTAAATAATTTTTGTTTGAAGGCAATTTTCGTAACTTTTGAGGGAATCCTTTGTTTGGGAGCATTCGTAAATCCTAAATAGTTACGAACGCACCCAAATTAGATAAAACGTAACTTAGAACGGTTCCCAAGTCTTTACTTGAGAATTTGCTAACACATGACTTTTGAGTTCGATCTTTGTATTAATAATTATAACAAAGTAGTGAAGTAAATAGAGATGGCGAAAGCTGCCTCATTAAGGACGAAAAGCTGTTCATGGACTTTGCTAGTATTTTTTTTTATAAAATACAAGTGCGCATTTGACCTCCATCTCACATGATGGAAAGTGACGACGAGGTCGACGATGGAGCATGCACACCTAAATAATGGCTATTCACTCTCGCCTTGAATAGGCCCAAGTTATAACGTTCAGGGAACAAGTCTGCAGGCAGGGAATTCCACTCCATAGCCGTTCGCCATATAAATGTGGCAGCGTAACGCTTCGTGCGAATCTTTGGAATATCCACAACATAGAGGTGGAATCCAAACCTACGCTTCCCCGTTGAAGGAAAGGGGAAGGCGGAATTAAAACGTGTAATTCCATCGCACACTCTCCGTGACATATCCTATAAAATACCAATAAGCTAGCAACTTTACGGCGGTGTTTAAGGCTGTATAATTTTCTTTAGTTATCAATATATTTTTGTATATTTTTAGAAGTTGGGAATAAAGAAATTGTAAAACAAAGTATTTTAGAATAACTGCAAGAACATAACGCAATTGATTCAGTTCGACCATAGATTAGGTAACGTTCTTGTACGTATGTTTCATTTTAAGCATGATTGAATGTTTGCCTACCTGAAGTATAGGTTATTTTGTAGTACGCACATAAAACATGAAAGTTATAAAACACCTAATGAAATAATCAATTAAACAGTAATTACATAAATAAAAAAATAAAACAGTGACAAAAAATATTAAAACAATATTTAAATGAGAGATAATGAAAGTTACCTCATAATCATCATAGAAAGAGACCTCATAATTAAATTTTTATTGAATTGATATTCAATTATTTTTTGTGAAATTACTCCTATAGTTTGTTATAATTATTAATACAAAGATCGAACACTCAGAAAAAACACTCAGAAAAAATCCTTCGATCCGGTCGGATTCGAACCGACGTCTTCTTGCATACCGTGCTAGACGCTATACCAACTAAGCCACGGAACGAACCAACAGTAGTACACCCGCGCACATGCACGTTCACACACACTCACACACACACTCAGTAAAACATATAATATGTAATTTATTTAATAATGTACCTATTAAAATTGTTAAGAAATAGGTAATGTAAGGTCAAATGTTTGAGAGAGGACACTGACTCCTGTAACACAGGTTATACCTAGCTCAGGTGTCAGGGACTTCACTATTGTGTTGTAACTATTTTGTAACAATAAATATTATTATTATATTATTATTATTAATATTATTAAACAAAAAATAAACAAAATGTGGAGGAGAGATATGTAAATAAATAAGTTCAACTTAATTTTTAATAATTACAAATCAATATTAAGACAACAAAACTGAAAATAATATAGTTTCCATTGCATCCGTGTAACTATTTTTAAGATTGCTAAATTTGACATAAGAGCAATATTACTTTAATGTCAAAGTCGCGTCATGGTACGAACTGAGTGGATAGTCACAAAGCTGCCAATAAAACATCATAGTTTTAACATTACAAATAAGTTTTAAGCTCGTTATGGTACGAAAAGTCAACGTAAGGTTAAAGTAATATTGTTTTAAGACGTTGTGGTAGGCCCCCTGGTATTTCAGAAAGCTGTCAAGAGCATTGCCAGCTAAGGTATTTATAGGGGACATAACGTATGGAAAATAGTTATAGCATGTCTCAATAAAAATCGGTTTCATATTATTGTGACATAATAAGACCTATTTTCCTTGAATATGTTAAAAAATAATATATTTTTTGGAACGTATTGTACAGAGTCCGCTGTAAGTTTAGTACTAACACAAGAGCCACTTTCAGGGTGTTTTTTTATATTTTTTTCTTGCCCCCCATTTTCAGTATGTGTCTGGGACACTCCGGAAATAGGGCCTTTTTGTTTCCCTTATAAAAATATCTTGTATTTCTGTTTCTGGGTAAACAACATTCACCGCGACGTTAAACTTTATCTTAATCGATGCAAAAAAAAACACGACAGAACATGGCAGTTCTTTCCGTATTATAGACACTTTTAGACAAGTCCTTTGCGCTTATTGAATTGTTTTTGTATTGTTTCCAGACGGAGAGAACTTACAATCATGAAGATGGCAGTTTAGTCGGAAGTATTAAGTTTATTTGTTTAAGGAAGGAAGTCCCTAGTTTTTATGTTTATTTGTTTATATAATTATGTGCAAGTATTTCTAGAGGAACTCGAGATCCTAGGGTTTTGTTGATCTACAAATCATGTAATCCTTACCTATTTCGTTTTTATTTTCTGCGATAAAAGTAACAAATAAGCAAACCTTCAGCCAGAAATGCCCTCTTGTGACTAGCGAATATTTTAAATTGTCATGATTTACTTAGAGATAGAGCTTCTATCAAAAAACAAGTAAGGCGCTTTCAAATTAGATGCTTCTAGCACAGCAGTGGCGCGAGTGTGTGACTTCAGTAATTTTTAGGTCACTAATTGTGACTGCAAAAACGGGTTGCGACAACTGCGCTTGCGCTTCTAAATATCGCATGAGATTTAGTTGAGGCGCGACTGCGGCACCACTGTGGTGCTTATAGGGCTTTAAATGACAATGTATGCGCCGCTGTTTATTCTGTTCGGATGTATACTGCAAAAGTACGTGCAGTACAATGCCGTGTGAACGGGGGACGACGATATGACGCCCAAAGCCGATTAAGTATTCTGGCCCAAATTCTAGAAAACTCGGTGTCTTAAGTACACTAAAAAAGAAAAGTAAAAAGTAGAAAAGTATCTATTTTGGTTTAAGCTACTGTTCTTGAAAAGCAGCGATTTAGTACTTCTAATCCTTTTTACGGTAAATGATAGATTCTGTAAATGGCAGACTCTTCAAATGTATATTTACAGTCAAACAAATAAAAACTTGAATCACATTTATATATTTAAGTTAGAGTGTGGTTATGACCTGTCGCTGATCCCCATGGCAATTTAAGTTGTTGGTTTGCTTAGAATTTTTTTTACTAAATGAGCACTATATGATTAGTTGGATCTTTAAAGCCTTAACAAAGTTGGGTAAGCAAAGCAGAACCTAGCAGTTTAATTACTTGATCCCTTTATTCCTATTCCCACTAGTTCTAGAGTAGTTCTGTTACAGCCTAGGTCATGTCTCGCTACAATGATTAATAAACTGTAATAAGTGTTATGCATATTTTTGTATTTTTTAAGACAACCCGTTATTCCTTTTTTTAGCATTGACGAAATGTTGGGTCCTTTCAGGCGCCATTTCATTCTGTAATATTGAAGCAAAGCAATTCAACAAATATCCTGAAACAAAATTCTACTACCTTGGTGTCAAAATGTTATTTATCATTGTCATGAAAGTAGAATTGTAATGAATAATAATAATAATAATAATAACGCACACACTCAACATAGCCCCGCACTAGGGAAACCCTGTGTCGCGGGTGAATGCAGTAGAAATCCCGATACTGGAGTGGCGCTGAGGGATACATTACGGATCAGTGCCTTTCGGAATGTTGTTTCTCCACTCTTAGTGTAATAAGAGAGCATTGCGGCCGATTACTCCCACGGCGTGGGAGATGTTAAAAGTTTATTACACCTACTGGTTCAGTATAATATGGACCGATATGGTACAGGATGCACGTTAATTATATGTGCATCGTAGTTAAGTATTATAAGGTATACATTTACCGCTGACGACACCTGTTTACGTGTACGCTGACAAAAACTTGGCAATGGCAAGCAGGGTCTGCTTTGACAAGCTTTCAGTGTTTGGTCATTCTTATGAATGTGTTCACAAGCAAAAAACAAATTGTCATTGTCATACAATAGAATTAGTAGATAACAGTAGCTAGGTCATTGACCTTATGTCAATGAGGTAGGTAGTAAATTTTCATGGAAGTTGCACGTGGAGAATGTCTAACTTCTTTAGGTAAATGCTTTCATCTTGAATTTGTCAAGAAGTCAGTTACACCTTGTATTACGCGCTTGCTGGACCCATTAGTGGATCCAAGCAGTGGGTCCAACTAAAGGCTATTTTCGCATATGGTCTAAGTAGTTTTGTAAGAATCAGAATGGGGCGGGTGTACCTTTACGGATCCTAACAAATTTTGTATTAAAAAACGTACCTAATTTGTACTATTTAGTATCTCTGCTTAAAAATTTACACCTCCGAACGAAATTATAGCAATATCAAAGGTACACCCGCCGTATGGACTGTCAATATGCCAGGTGTACCTCGGATTATCAGTATTTATTTGATAACTATAAAAACTTCTTATTCCAAAAATTTCTACATGAATAGTACTTTGAAGTCAAGAAAACTCCAGCTCGATCCGCTGGTTAGTTTCTAAGAAATAAGACAAAATATGTTGAGTTTTCAGAGTGCTGTGTACATCTTAACGAATCTTGACATATTTGGTACCAATAAAATGTACATACCAAATTTTATTATTTAGTCATTGACCTACCAACAAATGGACGTCGGGTTTGCGCTAAAGTGTTCGCTCCTATAGGGCGTTAAAATCGTATACAGAGCGTCAATCGCGCAATCGCGGAAGGAAGAAAAGAATGGAAATGACATAAAGCAACATTTGTATCGAAACCGGTGTCGCCACACGCACACATTTGAAAACGTAATCTTACATTAGTACTAAGATAACATTGACTTACAAATAAAAGGACGACGGGTCTAATACAAAAACCACGAAAAAAATCCCAAGTCAACCTATTCGAAATTTAAATTGTAATGTCATCGCAGTATCGCGCTGTCAGTCGAACAAATGAAGACTAAAGCGGAGTTTGGCGCTCTGTATACGATTTTAGCGCCTTACAAGTGCGGACACATTTTAGCGCGGACCCGACGTCCATATAATTGTAAGTCAATGTAAGATAACATAAATATGATTGATTAAAAAATATCAAACGAATATAGACAATAATAAAAGCTTTTGGTACAAAAAAATTTAAACTTATTTGGATCAAATAAGGTTTTATTATTACTAGTCACACAAAAGCTAAGAATCCTATGAACATAAACTTCTTGGAACAAAAGCAAAATGTTGACAATCTACAGATAGGGATGTGACGTTTAATTGATATCGACATAATGTTTTATAACTAGCGGAATATTGATTTAGGCATTGCTTGATACTTGCTATAAAGCAATGCCTAGCAAAATTAGGATTAATCACGGAGTGTATGGAAACGGCATTTAAAGCAATTTCATCGAGAACTAGCGTAGCTGACTTTTACACGCACACATTTATTACCTAATACGCATAAGGTTTTACTACACGCAAATATTAATTGATATTAGCTACGCAGGCGTGTGCGTATACGTATTAACTGCCTCTGTGGCCGAACGGTTACCATGACTGGACTGCCACGCAGAGGCCCCAGGTTCGATTCCCGGGCCGGGAGAAATATTTGTATGGCCTACATTTATTTCTCTCGTGAGTTTGGGTGTAATTTGTGGTTGTCTATGTGTGTGTCCATGGCACCCGCGACACAAGGTTTCCCTAGTGCGGGGCTATGTTGAGTGTGTGCGTGCGTGCGTGTGCAAGCTACATGCTACAATCACAGTATTTATAATTTATTATACTGTCATCGTACTTTCATTAACCTACTAGATTTCAAGTCAATCCGATCACTGAAAGGGTTGAAATATTAAAACACAGTCATTATAAAAATCTTTATTCTCCCTGAAATATGATATATTTGTTCAACAATTACCTCTTTCTGAACTGGCTGAACATGACTACACCTGTAGCGTCGACGAGCTTGTCAAGAAAATGAAAATACTTATTTCCGAAGGCGAAGAAGCGAATTATTTGTTTCATGAAAACTTGATGAAAAATAACTGACAATGCTTCCGAAATGTTTTCACATTTAGATGTGGTCTATAATTTGTGAAGGCGACTCTGAGTTTCATGTCCACCTGATTAACTAAATGATTTATTTCTTAATGAAATAAATAAATTTTCTGTTGTTAATTTAAAATGATGTCATGAAATGCTTCCAGTAAATGGTGCTACATTTATTGCCTGTTGCTTCAGCCAATTTGTCCTTTAAAAAGGATTCGGCAGGAAACTAAAATAATCAATACAAAAACTGCAAATGTAAATCATGCCTGTGATAAAACTAAGAACTCAAACGGGTGAAGGTGACGTATAATAAGCAAGAAGGGAGATAGAGATCACGTAGATAAGGGAAAGAAAATCTCCAATCTCATAAAGTCTTCATTTGATACTCCACGTGCTTACGTGCAATGTAAAATTATCGATACAGTACCTCTTCTATCTATATTTCCTTTTTCCCATTAATATATCGTTTTTACTTAAATTGAAAATTTAAAAAAACTATTGCAAGTGTCGGGACCAAACATTTAAGTAATCAAAATTGTTAGATTTTAAATACCTGTAAACAATTTATGTTTACGTATTGGTACCGCTATAATAAAAAAAATGTTGAACTTAACCAAAACCGGGTTTCTAAATACAGAGTTTCTACATATCGATAATTTGATTATAACACGCGGACTCAGTACCAAGTGTAATACGACGCTAGTTAAAGCAATTCATTGAGCGTCATTCGAATTCTTGTTTTGACGGCGGCGATGGCTAGCAACCTTAGAGGATGGAAAAAAAAGAAAGGAGCTGCCCTAACTACAGAATCAACGTGCCGAAGACCAAAATTTGAAAGTTACAAATGGCGGATTTCTTTAGTGCCATAATGTTTTAGAACTTTTGTAGTTTTGTACCATAATCTATCGATAAGTCATTATCGACATGTTTGGCTTGAATGTTGAAACTGTTTTTTTTTTGTTTCCTTAGTTTACTGTAACCAAAGTATGCCTAAACAAACACAAGTCTAATAATTTAATCTCGAGTGTTATATTATTATAAATGTCAACACACATTCTTAAACTTTTTTTAAAATATGTTTTCAAGATTACAACTGGTAACTTATTTAGTAAACGTCACCAAACTGCTGTGCAATTTGTTGGGGACATACGCATTCTTACTTAATTATACCTACTTTACTGGTATATAACATTACATAGTATTAATTGTACTTACTAAATAAAATATAAAAATTACTTTAAGAGGTACGCCTTTAACCTACATTTTAGTACATATTTACATAACGTCATGCGGCACATACCCTATATGGTACGCCGATGGGAAACAAGAGTGGAGCGCGCGGGGACGCCCGAACCCCCCGGGAGTGGCCATCGGGTCCTTTCATCCGGTCGCCATCCGGCACGATGGAGCACCCCGGGATTTTTCGCGAGTTAGCGGGGCAGCCTTTCACTGGAGGCTAATCAGCTAATTGGGCCCCCAAGTACCTGCGGTCGGCCAGCGGAGCACCGTGCTTCAGTTCCTGCTACCCTCCGCGTCTAGGTTCCCAGCTCAACAACAAGGGTGCCCCGAGATCAACCAAATCAGTGCAGTGCAACTGTACAAACTCTTCACTCTAGAGCGCCTACTCTGGGCGTCAATCCGGAACTCAGCCATAGCTGTTTGGCGGCTAGGCTTCGCCCAGAGGTCACAAGCCACGACCAAGGTCGACCACCGGCATTTGTAGCTTATTTGGCACCACGCAAGGGACACCTGTAGGTTCTCGAGGTTACACAGCCTACGGACGCGAGCTACTTAACCCCCAAGAGTTGTAAAAACCACCAAAAATTAATTGATTACTTTTCCGATTTGTGATTTCCGGAAATGGTTTTACTGCATCGTAGGACAAAACTGACCTAGGAAGTCGTAGTTGGATTTAAAACTAATTCTAACGGTGCCATGTAAAAATCATAGATTGAATATACTAAATCTATGGTAAAAATGCAGTAGATAACTGACCTTTTACCAAAACAGAGAATAAAAAGTAACGAATATGGTCACTGTCCGCCCCCTATCTTTATTTATTATTAATATAATAATATATTGAAATGCGTATTATAGTGAGAACATTTAAATATATAATATTAATGCCAATCAAACTACTAAATCCATAAAAGACGTGCTTATTGAAAAACATAACGCTTATTACCCTGTCCTATACAATTAAATAGCATCAACCCTTCATGAAATGTAAAATAAACTAAGA